TGGCAATTTGTGAGTTACCTCCATCCCACAGGCGAGTTCTGTGGAAGCAGATTTTCCCTGCTCCTTCCAGCCTGAGTTGCTGCACTCGGTCCATTCCCACCTCTGTTGTGTGTCTGTCCACCCATAAGAAATGAGACTGAAAACTCCCAGCGCTGTTTCTTTCTTTCTTTCGGTGGCTTTTGCACTAGAAATGGTCTCAGTTAGATTAAATTTTAAGAAAATGTTTCAGTGAACCATGTGCAAATTGATATGTTTCCTCCAAGTGCTGGAGGCAGCTTCACCCCTGAAATCCTACCCTTGCTCCCGTTGTGATCCAGTGCTGTAATGTGCCAGTGTTTTTGCATGTACATTTGGAAATAAAAACAAACTTAAAGCTGAAGTCTAAAGTTTGCCTAAGCACAAACAGACAAATTGTTTGTACCTTCACTCTGCTTAGATTAGATCTATGTAGGCCTGTCCATCTAGCTACTTGCTGTGCAATCCCATGGGGATTTGGCCTGAGGTCTTCAGGGAGACATTTAATCAGAACCTCATCTTTCCCTGGGGTCAGACATCCTGGAGCAAGAAGTGAGGAACTAGTGCTAACAGCTGTTCTTATTTTGATAAAGAACCAGCAAATACAACACCAAGAGTCAGTTACAGTTAGCTGCAAGAGAAACTGAATTCCCCATAGGAACAAATAAGACACTGATAAATGATGTGAAGAACTATCCTAGGTGCTGGACCACTAGTGCAAGGGAGTCTAAAAAGATGACAGTGACCTGAGCTTCAGAACCAGTGTTGAGATTCACTTGCAAGAACTGAAGGAGAAGATCACGGCCAGACAAACTGACCCCAGTTAGGAGAACTAGCAGGACTTCACCCTGGCATAGTCTGAACTTGTGCTGAATCAAGAAGTGGCTAGTCAGCCCGTAGGCACCAAACCAACAGCTGAAGTCTTTATAGTCTGAAAAACTAGCACATTTGCCAAGCAAAGTCCTGTTGCTTCTCTGATCTCAGCATCATTCTGAGGGACAGAGATGCTCTTAGTATCATCAGCATTGCCAGGTAGTTTCTGTGGCTCCCAAGGGCTGCAGTTCGTCCCAATGTGTTTTGCAGCAGCAACTCTCAGCTCTTGCCACCAAGGAATGACAAGAGGCTTGGAGCAGAGACAAAAGGCTGGTTGACATCAGTGCCAATGGGAAGCAGCTGTTGTAAATGTGAAGGGGCAGGAGGAGTAACTGTGCATGTGAGACAATCCCAGGATATCCCCAGTGTGAGCTCTCGCTGTCACTGATCACTTTGTGCCCTCCGAGCTGGCCCTGAATCACCCGGATTGGTAAACGGTGGCTTTTCCTGGTGCGTGACTCCCACCTAATGGACAATCAAGTGCTAGCTGAGTTTCAGTTCTGTCCCCCTGGATTGCGTGTTTCTGAGTCGTCCAAAAGTTTCTGACTGGATCACAACTGCTGGGTTCTCTTACTGATATGCCCCAGGCCTCTGCTTTCTTGGTTTGTTTGCTGTCATCTTCCTAGGCTGTTCCTTCCTGTCCGTCTGCTCTGGTATTTGTGACTCGGGCGGTTAGTGTGGCTCCACATGTGTGGCATTGCTGAGTACCGGTAAGTTGGCGTTGGTTCGTTTTGTGGCATTGAGTGTCACTGATAGGTGCCCGATGCCAGGCTGTTTGTCTATGAAGCAGTAACACTTTGCTTCTCAAAGCCTTTTGCAGACATTAAAGAATTAAGGCTCAGAACAAACATGGGAAGTAGGGAAGTGTTACCACATCCAGGGCCGGCTCCAGGCACCAGCCCAGCAAGCAGGTGCTTGGGGCGGCCCAGGGGAAGGGGCGGCACGTCGGGCTGTTCGGCGGCAATTCGGCAGCAGGTCCCTCTCGGAGGGAAGCATCTGCCGCCAAATTCCCGCCGAAGAAGAAAGCGGCGCAGTGGAGCTGCCGCCGGAGTGCCGCCGATTAGAATTGCGATCGCGGCTTTTTTTTTATTTTTTTCCCGCCGCTTGAGGCAGCAAAAACCCTGGAGCAGGTCCTGACCCCATCGTACATGTGGAGAGACAGGGCCACAGAGAGGCTAAGAGGCATTCCTCAGGCCACAGCACAGTCCACTGTAGAGCTAGGACGAGAAACCAGAGAATCCTAACACCATGTGCAGTAACCATTACCCTGCACTGCCTCCCTCTCCCTTTTCTGTAAGGGATGCAGGCTGGAAACCACCATTCAGTCTTATGGCCCTTCACTTCTAGATGTCAGAAGACAGAAATGTTGTTGTTTTTTCAGGGAGGGAGGCTGTCAGCCTTGCCCAAGGCTCCAACATACCAATAGCTTTGCTGGGAGTAAGACCTGGGAGTTCCCGATTCCCAGTCTTGTGCTCAGACGTGTTTGTTTTCTGTGTGTCTAGCTACACTTTCAAGATGACGGTTGACCAGAAGACAAGGGTGCTCCCCTCTGCCCATGCAGCCTCTCTCATGCCTAGCAGCGACTTGATGTCAGCTGGATGAGAGCCAAGTAAAGCAACCGTGTGTGTGAATGGAATGTGGTTCTGCACAGCTCTCTACCCTCTGCCACTGCCCATGTCAGCCCTGGGCCTGCCAGCAGTACTAAATCTTCCCCATGACTGCCGACACCAAAGGAACATGCTGATTTATGGCTCTTTTAAATAAGAGAAACAGAGTGTAAAATTAGAGCATTTTCTGGATGAAAAATTAAAGGGATGTTTTTGTTAGTTCCTCATTCTAGGCTCATGTGTAATTCACCTTGTTGGTTTTAAAGTTCCACTTGAAAGGAAACTTGACTTCAACAGAAGTTAAAGTACCAGGCTGCAAGACTCCCAGCACACTTAATTTCATATTCAGAGGGTTCTAAATCAAAAGGAAACGGAGGAAAAACAGCAAAGAATTAACTGAACTAATGATCTTTGGCTTTCTCTCTCTTGTGGACCTCAAAGCCCTTTACATGCATTAATTAGCTAACCCTCATTACTCCCTGGCAAAACAGGTGTTATGTGTTTCAGAGATGAGGAAACAGAGGCAAAGAAAGGTGCAGTGGCTAGTCCCAAGGTCACACAGCAAATCATTGGTTGAGTTGGAAACAGAACCCAGGAGTCCTGATGCCCAGGCCCCTGTTATACCTATCGGCCAACACGGCCTCTTGGCTGGAAATAAGAATCCGGAACAAGTGAAAGGGGAGAAAAGCAAAGTGCAGAAAGGTAGTTGAGAGATCATTATTGGGCAGAGGAAAGAATGTCCATGCTGGAAGGTGAAATGATTTGAAGGGGGGAGGGATAGCACAGTGGTTTGCACATTAGCCTGCTAAACCCAGGATTGTGAGTTTAATCCTTGAGGGGGGCCACTTAGGGATCTGGGGCAAAAATCAGTACTTGGTCCTGCTAGTGAAGGCAGGGGGCTGGACTCAATGACCTTTCAGGGTCCCTTCCAGTTCTAGGAGATAGGTATATCTCCATATATTATTATTGAAATAAAGCTTCCACTTCCATTTCTGCCCTCTGTGGTGTGGCCTCCAAAGAAGCCTGTTATTGCAGTGGCACAGATGAGTTGTGTGTGAATTAAAGGGCGAACACCCCAATAGAATTAACCCCCAGAGTGAGAATGTGTCAAATGTCTGTGACAGCCAGAAACGTTCTAGAGGTTCTGAAGTAACTTAGAACTTGGGGGTTTTTAGGCACCTATCTGTGGATTCTGCAGGGTTTGAGTATTTACTTCAGGTCTGTTCTAAGTTTATGAGAACAATAAGATTGCCTGTCCACTAGACGATGGCTCTAAATCCATTTTTGTGCGGCTCCCACCATGGAAAACACAGACTTACTCACATTGATTTGGGCCCTTTGGGATTAATTTCGCTGAATCTCTCTGCAGCCTTTGGCGGTGGAGCAGAATGTATGGGTTTGATTGACTGCCCACAGACTTTTCTACTGCTCAGCCCAATGCTGGTGCATCTCTAACTTCTAACAGCTTCCTGGAGTTGTTTGTATGGGTCTATTCTCTCTCGACTTGGGATGCAGTTTGTACCAGAGTCCAGCCAGTCTTTGGCTGTAAGCATCCTTATGCAATAGATTCTCCATGTCCTAAGACACAGGAAATGAGGATGGGCATTTCCTGGATTTCTAATGTCTGTGTTTTGTTGCATGTATTTGCTGGTTCTCAGTAGTTTCAGTTTTCACCATTGTGGAAGGGAATCAAGCATCACTAAACAACCTGAACAGCCCAAAACCAGCAGTTGGATGTAAGAGTATAGAATTTGCATTGTCAGATCAGACCACTAGCCTGTGTAACCCAGAACCCTGACTCTTGCAGGAGCCAATACCTTATGTTTCAGAGCACTTGCTGGTTCCATGGTGCTGGCTCCTTCTTATTTCCAACTGCTACACTGTGTTAAAGCAAACCAGATGCCCACTGGTACTTCCCTGATGTTACATACCCATCCCAGTAACTGCTGGCACCATGATCTTATTCCATCACAGGCCAGAGGAGATGGCCCACATGTTTGCAAAGGGAAGAGGAGGTGGCCATGGAAAAAAAACCCTCTATAAAACTATACTCCACCCTATGAAAAGATTTGAGACCCCACTGCTGCAGCGCCAGATGACGAAGACTACAGCTGATCAGCTGTGCAATACTATGCAGAGCTAAAAAATCCTTCTGGGCAAAGGAGTGAAAAAATGCCACATGCTCCCTGCAACCAGTCCCTGTGCATGTGCAACTTTAAAGGAGACGGACTGCGGGTGATGATCTTCATTTATAAGACCATTTGCCCCTGCCTTTCCACAGAGGATTTGCCAAATGCAACAAGGCCATTGGTTCATTTAGTTAAGGAATCTGCCTCCAGCAGTTCTTGATAACTTTGGGGGAAGGCAACCTTTTAAAAGCTGTCCACCTATGCAATTCTGCCCCATGAGGGCAGGTTCCTTCCTCAGTCCTGCAACACAGGGCTTTATGATCCTAGTCTACGCAAAGGTGCATGACATACATTCTGCATTCAGAACAAAACCTACCATGCCGTGTTACGATATCCTCAGAAGACGTGGTTCTCCTTGATTGTCAGAGCCTGAACACACAGGGCACAAGGGGCGGCAACCCCTGCATTTTATCCTCCCTGTTCCTCAGTAACTGGTTGACTTTGTGACCAGTTGTCAGGGTTCAGCTGATCAGCTGCAAGCTGACGTGGACAAATGCCTGGCAGCGTGGTGGTTAAAGCAATAGACTCTGAATAGGTAATAATGGACTGGCTCAGTCTGCTGTGCAGCAGGAGACGTAGCTGGGCTTAAAAGGGGGCCCAGTGCACCCTAAGCATAATGAAAAATGGCTTTTCTGCTGACAGCCTGACATTTCAATACAATTTCAACAACATGTAAAGCACCTTCGTTCCTGCATAACAGCGGCCTTAATAAAGCTCTTCCCACTACAGATATTTATGACTAAAGGGACCCTAGCTGCTATAAATAATCCCACGGGATCAGCTAAAAATAGATTTTTCCATCTCTACAGGCAGTTGCAGCCTCTCTCTAAATTCACTCCGAAGCTGAGTGGCCATCACCTCCTCTTCCAACTTTCCTACCACTTTGCCACTAAGCAAATTGGATTCCCTTTGAGCAGCTCACGGTGCGTTAAAGGGATGAAAGCAGAAAAATGCTCCCTGCCTAATTTATTTATAAAATACCCTTAGTTATAAGTGATCCCCCACACACAAATCACATCACTACTGAAATGCAGCCACCTCTGGGGTAGAGGACAGCAGCTAACAGGGTTACAGCAAGCAGCTCAACAGCATTGTCAGCCAGCTGGAAGAGACAACCTTCAATCTGCCCCCACCTCCCTAGAGAGGGGAATCGCTGCCAAGACGGGCTATTGGAAGATGGCGAATTATGTTCACCAAACACCACATGCTCCAAGGCAGGAACCTGGCCACCTGCCTCCGCTGAAAGGCGAACGAGGAATCATGTGTCCTGGCCAGGGAGTTGGGAACCAAGTCAGAGATAAACCTATCTTGGTCCTTGCTGAGCCCATGTGAAAGGTGGCTGCCTCAAATTAAAGCATGCTACAGAATTACAGTGGGATTTAGAATACTGGACTCAAGTAATATGTGATCTGACATCCTTGTTTCTATACAAGGCATAGAGATCACTTCCCTGAGCAGGGTTGCATTGCCTGGGTTCCTGGCCCCGTACCCATCTCACTTGTTGGGCGGCCCCAGCAGCCTGGCAAGCTAAGTTCTCACGTTTCTAGTGCTCACAGCCATGAAGGTGTTGTTAGGAAGCCAAATGGTTGGAGTGCAGAATCTGTATAAGCGTATCAGAGGGAACAGTGCTGTCCTTCTCTAGGGCCTCTGAGTATCTCAAAGAACTTTAGAGCCCAAATTAAGCCTTACACTTCCGGCAGGAGGCAGAACTTAACCCCTTTTCACACACAGCACGTTACACAACACCGCAGAGACTCATCCAAGGACGGAAATCAAAACAGCAGAAGTGCTGGGAACTGAATCCAGGAATCTTAACTCCCCGTACTCTGCCCTAACCAGGAGACATGGTGTTTCTTGCACATCCATCCTCCGCTTTAGGCATGCTCAGGATGGCTCTCTTTGTTGGGTGAGGAACTCAAAGGATTCACAAGGCCAAACCTCCTGTTCTTAATTCATTCCTCTCACGAGAACAATCCACTGTGTTTTGTGTCATTTGAATTCCCCTACATGGTTTGCAACCTTGAAATAACCTCTCTTTCCCGGTCCCCTGTTTCCCCTCCCCCATATGGTGAACATCAATGTTTCCCCAGCATTTAGGAATTTGTTTGTTGTCTTGTTTCTACAATGGTCAGGTTTTGTAAAGCATTTCAAACATGTGCCGTGCTAGTTATTAGATATCCCTACAGCTCTGCTGCTGACAAGGCTCCCTCTGCTGGCTCCAAAGCAGAGCACAAGACATGCTAGTCCCGTGGTTCTCAAACTTCTGTACTGCTGACCCCTTTCACACAGCAAGCCTCTGAGTGCGACCCCCCCCCTTATAAATTAAAAACACTTTTTTATATATTTAACACCATTATAAATGCTGGATGCAAAGCGCGATTTGGGGTGGAGGCGGACAGCTCGCGACCCCCCATGTAATAACCTCGCGACCCCCTGAGGGGTCCCGACCCCCAGTTTGAGAACCCCTGTGCTTGTCTATAGCCCTTCCAGAACATTTGTCAGCAATGGGAGTGAGGAATAGTTTTGATGCTGTTCAAATCTGGGACCTAAACAGATTGATGTTCTCTCTTCAGTTATCACCTGGATTTCAGTGCTGTCATCCAGACTCTCACAGCAGCTCCCCATATCAACTGGAGGAAGCCAGAGCCAGCCCTTTAGTCTTTAAGAATTATTTTATTAGGGCGCAGAAATACTGTGCCTAAATATTGCAGGGAGTAGGAAAGAATACATGTTACAGTAAACAGGACAAGTTAAGGACCAATTTCAGCCTTCGGTCTCAATTTCAGTGCAGAGTCGAGCCTTTATTGTAATTTTAATACAGTGTCTGTAGCTTATTAATTAATGGTGCTGTCCAGGGCTGTGCGACCAGCAGAGACAAGAGGCGGCACTAACAGCATACTGACAAATGCTGACAGATTCCGATGTCCTGCTGCGAATCCAACTGTTCAGGTGCATGTGACCGGAAACTGATGAAAGCCAGAGCACAGGGACTCGTATCATTCTGTATTTTCTGCCAGGAACCATAAGAAGGAGGCTTCACAGCTGGGAAAGCCTGTCTCATTCCTGAAGGTGAAGGTTCTCAGTGTCCCCTGTGGAAAGACAGCAGGAATGAAAGTCAGTGGTTGTGCATATATGTGAAACTCTAGTCCTGAGAATACAGTGATTACACAGACAGCTGATAAGTAATTTTGTAGCTTTCTAGGGGTTTCCACAAACTTAATAAGATTTTATTTTACTACTGCTCCATCAAAGCACAAACCCTTTGAAAGAAAGTGCTCAGTGTAGTAATGTAAGCGGACTCTACTGAGAAAGCTTGATGTACATTACTGCATAAACTCACTGCTCCAGATTGGTTCATAAAGTTAGACTGAACTCATGGCAGCAACCAAGATGGCTCAAGGGCTTGGCAGCAGGGTCAGGGCTGGAGCATAGGCTTTCGTGGGTGAATATCCACTTCGTCTGATGCTTTTTACAGATCCAGACTAACACGGCTACCCCTCTGATAAGTGTCAGGGTTTTTCATCACATGGCTGTCAGCTCAGAGTCATTACCTTCTGATACCCATTTGGAGACCTAGGTGAAATGAGCTAGCTGGTCAGGCAGGCTTCTAGTGGTCAAGTGTCACTACCACAAGAATCACCGTTACAACTGGCACTTACTGTCAGGCCTGGTCCACACTAACCCCCCACTTCGAACTAAGGTACGCAAATTCAGCTACGTTAATAACGTATTCGAAGTACCTTAGTTCGAACTTACCGCGGGTCCAGACGCGGCAGGGAGGCTCCCCCGTCAATGCCGCGTACTCCTCTCACCGAGCTGGAGTACCGGCATCGACGGCGAGCACTTCCAGGATTGATCCCAGAAGATCGACTGCTTACTGCCAGACCCGGAGGTAAGTGTAGACCTATCCTCAGTCTCAGTAGAGAGGCCAAGTAAAGAATGAGCACTGATCTCCAATCTCACTCCTGGAGGGAATCTCTAGGGCAGGGGAGGGTGGTAGATAGGGATGCTAACCGGGAGACTGCCCGTGCTGGAGATGAACAGGGGATTTCAAGTTTCCAGCTGAGCCTTCATTCACCTTAAGTCATTAGCTTCACCTGCTCAGCGCAGAGCAGGAACTCGTTGACGTGTTCGGTGCAGTTCACCACGGAGGCCTGGTTCTGTTTCAAGCACTGTTCAAATGCAGTGAAGGGCTCAGCGCAGTCGTGGCGGATTTTCTGCACAATCGGGCTGCAACAAAGCAAACACACACACAGACGCTGAGCTCCTCACGGGGAGCTTTGCTGACGGTCACAGGGGACTGAACAGACCCTGGAATAAGCCTAGAAAGAACATTTTAAAATCTCTAGACAAAGCAGCTGTTGGGAAGTCAGGAATGTGCCCAGTAGCGGATGTGAACCCCCAGTGATGAGCTGCACAACGGGTGGAGCAGGCTGGCCTTGCGGTTACAGAATTGGTATCACCCTCAGGAGAACGGGGTTCAAGACCCTGCTCTGCCACAGAGTCCCTGCCTGGGCAGGTCACGTCCTCTCCCTGCCCCTCAGCTGTACAGTGGGGTGTGACGCGGGAGGGAGCGGGGGGCGGATTGACCTGGGACTGTCTGCATGGGGGATGGGAGAGCAGGGGGTGATACCTGAGCCAGGAGGGGGATTGGGCCAGGTGACACCTTTGCCTGGGGAAAGTGGACAAAGGCGGGCGGGGGGGAGGGGCTGCAGGGGAGTTTCAGGTTTGGGGC